CAATTATTATCTATCTATCTATCATCTATCTATCTATCTATCTATCTATCTATCTATCTATCTATCTATCTATCTATCTATCAGTAAACATGTACAGTTTCTAGTTGAGATTTCCAAAAACTCCAAATAAATCAAAGACCTATGTGGGCCAGATAGAATGACCATGATAGTGAAGAAATGGTTTCTAACTAAACAGTAGTGGTTTCTAACTAAACTGATACGTGTGGATGCACTGTCTCTTTAGAGCTCCCTATCAACCAAAAGTACCTGAGTTCCAGATAGATCCTCTTTTGACTCAGCCTCAGCTTCTGGTGACTTCGTGGTCTGATCCTATTTAGGTTTTTGAGATCAGTCAAAAAGATGCTGCCCCATATCAGAGCAAGTTAGGGGGCAGACTGGACCAAATAGCAGAGTAGCTCTAACCTTCTGTAGGAGGGACACACTGCCCACCTGTTGCACCCATGAGGCTACTGAAAGAAATCCCAACTTTCAGGCAGAAGTAAGGTTTTCCAGAGGAAGACCAGGTCTCAGCATTTCTTGCAAACAGTCCCTTTAGCAACAGACTCTTGCTGACTCATGTGATGTTGTGATGTGATGTGGTGTGGTGTTTTTCCACCACGTTTTGGACTGATGGATGTTAATGCACAAATGTCACTGTAGTTCCTCTCTGCCTGCAGGAACAGTTGTCTAGTGACCTCAGGCTCAGTCCAAACATAACAAGAACCAAAAGCAGAAGCCGTAAGGCACACAGTGGTGTTTAAGCCCTGAGAAAAGCAGTAATGCAACACATTGGATAAAGGGAAGATTCTTCTTTCTCACTTCCTCAGAAGTCTCTAAAGCTGTTCAATATCTCTTGCTTTACTGGAAGTGCCCTCCTGTTTGGCTAGGAAAAATTGAATCAAAAGCTGGGTTCTCAGAGTGGCAGCTGCAACATCATCTGAGAGATGTCTAATGGCCTTCCTTTCCTAGTTCTTGCCAAGGGCCCCTGCCCCGGTCAGGACTCTTATGCCTGCCATTCAACTGGCCAAGCTTTTTCTCTTGCTACCAGGTGTATGTCAATGCTAGGGACAAGCTGTTTCGGTACATGGCTTGTACCAAAATCATGCAGATGTAAAAAGGAACAATGTTCTATCAAGATCTAAACTTTGCCAAATTCTTAAACCTGGATTCAACTTCAGGGATCCCAGTTAGATCTAGTAATAATAATAGTAATACAGTAAAAAAAATATATAAAAAACTCTTGTATTGGGCATGCATTGTACATCTGTTCAGTGTGCATGTATCCCAAACTTTGGACTAGGTAACCTTCAAGGTCTTTTCTGATTCTATAGTTCTATGTTAGTCTGGATTCCTAGGGGCAACATCTGACAAGGGGGAGACCAGCCTAGCATTGTCCATCAGCCAGTAAAGGAGGAGCCACTCCAAATGACTGTCCTCTTCTTCCCGCCCCAGTCCATTTTCTTTTGTACTGTGCCTATTAGTGCCTGCCCCAGCACTTCTCTTTTCTTATATGTACAGTTTTAAGTATTTATATTAGCCAACCATAACTGTTACATATTGCATCTCGGTGACGACGATTCCTACTATGGCTATATCCAGTCCTTCTGTTGCAACTGCCTATCTACTGAAAAGTAAGGCCACTTAAATTTATGGAGGCATGGCATTCCAGCCCTGAAAAGAGATTCAAGACCTTTTACATTCAAGAGAGCCCAGTATGCTGAGGAAAGTGGTAGATAATGCTGGGTTCAATCTCTTGTCACTGGGGCACAGAGAAGGCAGGGAAACACCCTGAATGAGTGTCCTCTTCCAGAGGCTCTAGGCATGATTGAACTGGTCTGGACTGTTTTTGTCTCCAGAAATGCTGGGAGGATTCCTTGAGGCAGGACGCTATCCTTTTACTGCAAGCTTCCCCACGGGAGTCACTGAAGCTTTTCGGTAAGCCGCTGCCAAGTCAGACTATAAAATGCACAGCAGACCTTTAGTAAATCCTAGGTTAACCAAGTTTAAATCATCATCATCTACTTACCAAGTGAGAAACTATTTGTTATTGTAGCTCTTTTGGTAATTACATTGTTTTGTTTTCTGTAATTGCTATGTTGATATATAACCATTCCTGAAAACAAAACACCGAACTGGCGGTCGTATATAAGAACAGCAACATATGTTAATTTTATATGTAAAATTAATGTATGTTGCTATTCTTATACACGACAGCCAGTTTGGTGTAACAGTTAAAGATACTGAATAGAAGCTGGGACACTGTGAGTTCTAGTCCTGTTTTAAACACAAAAGTCTTGGTGATTTGAGGCCAGTCATTCTCTCTCCAGCTCTAGGAAGAAGGTACTGGCAAGCCACTTCTGAAGGCAATTCAATACAGTAAAGGATTGGGTATGTTAGGGCAGGAATGGGTCAGAGAGAGGCAATTCAGAAGTCAGGGCTAGCATCAGGCTGTGATTTACTAATGCTTCATTCAGTGGCAATCTAGTTATTACACAGTTACTAAAGGTCCACAAGTCCTGCCAGAATAAAGGTAGCTATATTTATATGTGCCCATGAGATCAGGGCACACCAAATTACAGATACAATCAAGGACAATCAATGCAACATGTTCAGGTTTCCAGGCATTTCTTCTTCAGATGTTCCAAGATCAGAGCATCATCATAGTGAAGACTCTCTTTTTTAAAATCCTGAATGAATTTCTTCCATTTATGCTACCCAGAGAAAGATCTGGGTACCATAAATGGAGGAAGATCTCCTCTGAAGATCTTCCTGCACAAATAGCATGATGTGTGTGCAGAGATCCTTTTAGACCCCAAGCCTACTTCCTTGACAGATAAAGCTCCACCTTGCCCCAAATGCTCAGCTGCTTGAGGCACAGTCAACTGCTAGTCAAGTTATTTGGGCACCCAACACAGAAAATCTCTATCTCTCAAGGGCCAGAGACTAAAAGTGTCCCTATAATAAAACAAAACAAAACAAGATAAATTGCAGTTCTGTCATGACACTCAAACTCTGCTGCTGAGGCATATGTTTCTCTCTACCAAACACTGTGTGGGGGAGAAAATTATACTATTGCTTTCTTTTTGGGAGCCCTTCCTCCTTTTACGTTATTATGAAACTCAGGACTAATCAAGATGAGCTCACTGTCTAGGCTTCCTTCCTTTCCACCGGCTTCTCTGTGACTGTACTCAAGGCATGCAGTGACTTCTCAGCTTTTATCATCTGTGGATATCTAGCACTGCATCCGATCTGAAGATAACTTTTGATAGAACAAACTTTTAAATGGGATCACAAGATTCAGGTAGATTTCATCAAATTGTACTCATTTTTTCTGTGATAAAAATTATATCTTCTGTTCCTCTTGTAATTTTTTTAATTGATACTCATTTCTTCCATAGACTTCTGTTTGACTTCCACAGTACAGAAGGAAAATATAAATGTATTATGAGTGTACCAGTACAATGATTTCTAAAAAACAGTTTGAGGCTTCAACTATTTTTCTGCTCTTTCAATTGATTTATACCAGATAATTTTACAGGTTACAGTCTTTATACACTTGCTGTGAATTAGCCTCATTCAATTCAATGGAACTTAATTCTGAGTAGATATACTGTATTTAGGATTTATCTTATTAGGACCACTCAGCCCTGCAAAACCCATTTCTTACATAACTCTGTAGCTTTTAAATGTCTGCCTATTACCCAGCTATTAAAATTACCAAAGCATGCTAAGAGAACGAACAAACAAAAAGTCTAACACTAATCAAATTGTGAGAGAATTTCTGCCTAACATATAATACAGATTTGTAAAGGTCCCATAACTTTGAACTATAATATAATTGTGCGTTTTTCAACACAGTAACCACGTGAGTTGCATAAACAGAATGTTTAAACTCTTTTGAAGTGATTAACCTGAAATGTGTGATCTTGAGAACATTCTATGGTTTTAATCAGCTGGCTGACAGTGCTTGTTCTGGATGTTCCCAATGTTCATTTAAAAAGGGATACTCACAGAAGAAAAGAGGCAGTCAGGATGTTTCCAGAGTTGATTATTTCAGCCCTTCTTTTCTTGAGTTCCATTCCATTGTGTTTCCTTTGTTTCCTAACAGAAGAAAGGGAACCATACACCAAAAATTTCCTTTGCTAAATTATAGACTGGAGGAGATGGATTGTCCCCTTTTCCTTCTACCAGAACTCTGTGCCTTTCACACAAGTCCAGTGCTTCACCCTGGAGAGCTGGGAAGGTTCACCACTTGAACTGTTGTTTAAGTAGTTACTGTTAGTTAAATCAAGGCAGCACCTCTACGTGTTATGACACAGTGACTAAATTTACCCATCATCTTAAGTCATACTTTGTTAACACAATGCTTGTCAATCACACAATGGCTTAACATGATGTATGTTTTCATGCTCGGACCAGAAGGTGGCAGTAGAAGGACTTCTCTTTTTGATCTCTAAAGTTCCAAGCCAAGGACTAGAACTGAGCCAGATTGAAGCCATTACATGTAGCTCAGAACTTCTCACCCTCACAGTGATTTCAACCCAAATACATTACATCCTAGGAACTCCACTGCAAAACTTAGTGGTCCTTTCAGATAAGTCTGAGGACAAGTCCATGTTCGCAGTTCTCACAGCCACAAGATTGAGCTGCAGTCAACTGGCTCTCATCACTCCTTAAAAGAGAAGCAAAAGCTCTGGATCTACTCCATCAAAGGCGGGTCCTTCCTCACTTAGCAAGGCTGAGTGAACTCCAGGCCTTGTCAGGGCAATAAAAAGGCTACAGGCCGTAACACTGCCTTGCTCTGACTCTCTCCACTTTTCTCTGTTTTTTTGTTTGTTTTTTTGGTGGAATAGAAGGACGACACTGTGCAAATGATAGTCTGGAGGCAAGACTAAGGCCAATGTCAAAGGCTTGGGGATAACATTTGCATTAGCAAGCCACTCCTGGGATGCTATAGACAAGGCTGTCGAGGTGGTGGCAGCTGGCTGACCTTGTCTGGGGAAGCAGGATTATCGCTGATTAGCACTTGGGTGGTTGGACATTTTGAGAGTCCAGACTGAGAAATTGAAACAACATCCTTGAAAAAGGCAGTAGCAAATCCCTTGTCTATTATGCCGAGAAAACATGCATGGATATGTTAACATAACTCACTAGAGCAATTTGAAAGTTACTTGATTTACTTCCCTTCAAGCAGATCTGCTGCCTTTCTTCTCCCAGAACCAAGCCTGCTTAGGATAGTCCAGCACCCAGACGTATAATTTTACTGACTGATGTGACTAAGAAGCAGCAGCCCGAGCATTCGTATTATTCATTCACTAGACTGATATCCTGCCTTTCCTCCAGGAGCTTCAGGATGTATACGTTACATTCACTCCATCAGTTTTCCCAACAACAATTTTGAGAGGGAAGCTGGGCTGACAGAGAACAACTGGCTCAGCCTCCCCAAGTTTCTGTAGCTGTAGTTGGACTTGAACGCAGTCCTAGACCAGAATCTTAACCACTGCACCCCACTAGCTCTGTACCATCTTCCAACAATTACAGGAAAGCGGATATTGAAGATATTCCCATCAAATGGGAAACACAACAGATGAGCTTTTGTATAGGATAGCTACTAGGGAGGGTGATTACTCATGCGCTATAAGGTGCTGAATGTCACTAAAAATGAAACCTTTCCAGCATAGATTTTAAGTGTGGAATGATAGCTTATTTTAGATGCGAAGAATACCAGCCAATCAGTGCTCTTTCTCTCTATTCCAAACCAGTCAATCATTCAGCGTACCACGCACACAACTTCCAAACTTTGTGAATTAACCATCTTTACCCTTTACCCCTTCCTTCACAAGAGAGAAGCAAACAAGTTTCCCACCCACCGTTATCTGTGTGTGTTTGTTCAGTGGTTTGTGAAACAGTCCTCCCATTCATCAGGCATGTTTGTGTGTGTAGAACGGAAGCTTGGTTCTTAAAATCATTAGCCAATGAAGGGAGAAGTCTGGAAAACTGCTCTCTCACCATGGCACCAGATCAGCATTGCAGATGTAGAACAGCAAACCCCAGGGAGACCTTTATGCAGGGAGAGCATAAAGTGAAGTACTTGGCCATGCTCCAATGTGTAGGTGGGGTCTGGCCAAAAATAATTGTCCTTATTGTGAAATTGTTTTATCTGCTATACTATCTTTACTTTGATTACTCATTATATCGCTTAACATTTAATGGGTGACATTATCATTTTAATTGAATTCCCCTTGAGCTCTGTGCTGAGGTTGGAAGGTGTGTTATAAAACCTGTTTAATATATTCATTTACTTAAAGGAAGTTTGGCAAAAAAGGAAGTCTGGCAAAAAGAATATATAGATAGATAAATGGATACGCAGGTACTGGCCAATCAACCAGGCATCATAGTAGTAGTCAAGGACCCGGAGACACTGGTGATGATAGATGTAGCAGTGCCAAATGACAGTATCATCAGGAAGAAGGAGTATGAGAAGCTGGAGAAGTACCAGGAGGGTCCTCTACCAGAGGCCTGGGAGTTTGAGGGTTCTGTGCAGTATCTCAGCTGTTCCTAGCACTGCACTCTTCTGGATGGAAAGCTCGGTTGTTGTTCCTGGGATCTGTTACAGCCACTCTCCCAGCTTAGGAGTCA